TTTCTTGAAAATCGGTTCAGATTTAGATATAGCTCCCATATATATTTTCATCCGATTTAAGGTAATTGGTGCATCAAAAACTCTATGTATCTTTCGATTTGCACGAAATTTGGCATAGCGTACTGACTTGCGTCCATAATAATAAGTTTCATGAAAATCGGTTCAGATTTAGATAAAGCTTCCATATATATATCTTCGTCCGATTTAAGGTAAATTTTATACCAAAGTCCCTATATATCATTCGATTTGCACGAAATTCGGCATAGCAAACTGAATTAAGTCTGGAATGGTGTGTGCAAAGTTTCGCGAAAATCGGTCCAGATTTAGATATAGCTCCCATATATATTTTCGTTCGGTTTTATGCAATTGGTGCATCAAAGCCCCTATATGATGTTGCAAAGCTTCGTGAAAAGATCCACAGCTAGGCCGATTGACACAACGTACTGAAGTAATATAAATTAGTCTCTATTACGTTTCCCTGAAATCGGTTCTGATATAGATATATAACAAACACGCGACGTCTGTTAGGATACCCAAAGTGGTGAATGGTATCATATAGTCGGCCCAGTCTGACTATACTACTTTCCTTACTGGTTTTAAATCCCCGCTTGTGCTTAATTTCAAAAGTGGCCAAATTTTGTACATGGAAACCAAATCCCCCTAGTGATGTGCAAAACACACACATATGGGTTAGGTACCTTATTTCTGCACCCATTACAAGAATATCGTTTGTAATAGTTGTGTAGGGTGAAGGGAGGCATTTGTTTTTTATACCCTACACAGGGTATTATAGCTTTGTGCAGCCCCAAAAGTTTGTAACGCCGCGAAATATTAGTCCTAGACCCACCTTTAGGTATACCGATCGTCATATCTCGACTAGCTGAGTCGATCTAGACATGTGTGTCCGTCCGTCCGTCTGTCCATTATAATTTGTAAACACGATACAGGCCACAGTTATGGACCAATATTCACGAAATTGTGCATGTCGGATGGGTTCTGCCCAATGAAGACACCTATTGTTTTTGGAAAAGATCGGTTAATATTTAGGGGGTGAAATGGACCAAAAACTTTATTTTTGTCTGGTCGCTCCAGAGGCCGCAATTATGACCCAAACACAGCGTGGAGAAGGGGATCGGGCCAAAGAATAAGCATGCCTGTTTTGATAAAGATTGGTCATTATTTAGCGCGTCAAATGGACCCTGACTTTTGTGTGGAAAATGACAAAATGTGTATTTTATGGCGTATATATTTACTCCTGAAGGACATAGACCCGAGAACTTGATAGTATATCCAAGAGGAGTGCTTTACCTTTAAATTGATACCAATTGTATTATCGTGTGTACTTGGATGTGGGAGTTACACTTAAATATTTACAGGTCTTTACGTATTCATATATTATTTAGTAACCCATTACCACACTAGAGGGCGGAAATATAGCGCTGATCGCTTTGAAATTTTCCATGAGGATTCAGGTATGGTCATGGAAAACGCCTATAATTTTAGGGGTCATGGACAATGTCCATAATTAGATTTTCGTGGAAGTTGTGTAGGGTATCATATGGTCGGCCCCGTCCGACTATATATATATTTATATATATATATATATATATATATTTTTTTTTTTGTTTGAAAAAGTTTCAATTTTGTTTCCATTGAAGTGGCGGGCTTATGGTTTTGATCACGATTTTTCATAAAGTCGTTCAATGTTTTTTTTGTTTTATGCTCTGAAATGAAATGCTGGAAAACAAAACGGCCTCAAATTATGTACAAGGACTGAGTTTTGGCGGTTGGTCATGGGAAGCGGTGGCATGGTAGTACTTGGGAAGGGGATAATTTTCTGGGCATAAATGTTCGAATGTTTGTTTGATTTCTGATTCTGCAAATTTCGATTGTGTGGCTAAGGCGTCTCTTACTACCATGTGGCGCAGGCGCTGTTCCGACTACATCAGCATAGCTGTGTTACTGTTAATATTTAAAAATCGTTTTTTGTTATTGCTGTTGTTGGCTCTGATGCCCACGTTAATGTTAATGTGGCACTTGAAGTGGTACCACTCTTGTTGCCGTCAACATCATCGTCGTCGTCATCACCACCATCATCAGTTTGCGGTGGCGGGGTGCTGGCAATTGTCAGGCATTTCAAAATAAAACGTTTCAATTCGTTTTCTCCTGCACTTGGCTGCTGTTGAAGTTGATCTGGCCTAGCTGGATGGTGGAATGGCTGACTGTTTGGCTGGCTGGCTAGCTTTTGCTGGGTACTTTATGGCCTCTTCATGGTTCCACGGTAATGTTTTTATCTTTGCACTGTGTGCCATTTGGGTGGTCCATAAAGAACTATGAATGTATGGACGGACAGACAAACGATGTATGAACTCCGGACAGACAGACGAACCGACACAGACTCATACCGAATGTTTTTGAGGGAACAGTTACCACTCACTTTAAATTTATTACAATTATCATAATCGAATCGTTTCATTATTTTTGGTTCCAGGTTGGAGTGGGTGTTAGTTGGTTGGTAGGTGGCAGTCAGGTTCTCCTGCCCGGCAGCAGTGATTTGGCGTTTATTTCTTTTTCGTTTTTTTGTGATTGCTCCATTTTTCGTTTTTCATTGTGGAAATTAGAACAGGTTGTATGTAGTTGGCTGTTTGTCGCATTGACGATTTTTTAAATGGACCCTATCATGGAGATTGCTCCATTAGGGGGAGGGAATCGATAGTACATTGTTGCAAAATTGTTAAGTAATTAAAAATGTAATATTTCGAATGGAATGGAAGTCTCATTCATAAAAAATTGAAAGGAAATAATTTAAAAATCCACCTACTAAAATAAATTATGAAGTTGAGGAGGAAAATTCCAAAAAAAGGAAGATAAAAAATATTTGTTAAACAATTCATGTTAAAGGAGATTTTTAAATGTTTTAAATCATGGCTGAAAAAATATTTTAAAAAAAATCCCCGCCTGTCTGTAATCCTTGAAAAAATATTTTTAGAAAATCCACGACTGTTTGTGTTCCCTGAAAAGAAAAATAATTTGTAAAAAATCCACGCTAGTTTGTGGTCCCTAAAGATATCTGTTTGTAGACTCTGAAAAAATATTTAAAAAACCAGTAAGGAAAGCAGTAAAGTCGGACGGGGCCGACTATATGATACCCTTCACCACTTTCGGTATATCCAACAGATGAAACCTAAAAGACGTCGAATTTTTAAAGGACCAGGGACAAAATTATGAAAGTCAATTATAAGCGTATATATATATATATACGCTTATAAACTTAACATATATATATATGTCAAAATTTAATCCGATTTGAACTAAACTTGCCACACGTTATGTTATAGTAACTTCGTACGTAGAGCAAATTGGTGTGCCTATTGGACTCACAATGGTAAAGCATTTAAAACAACTTCTAGGTTATTCTCACTACAGTACGTTGTGAAAGGTTTGTGTCAATTTTTGTAAAATCGGACGACACCATTTACATTAAATCAGACGAAAATATATATGGGAACTATATCTAAATCTGGACCGATTTTCTCAAAACTTGGCACACATCATTTTGGACCTCATTCAGTACTCTGTGCCAAATTTCATGCAAATCGAAAGATATATAGGGACTTTGGTGCACCATTTACCTTAAATCGGAGGAAACTATATATGGGAGCTATATCTAAATCTGAACCGATTTTCTCGAAACTTGGCACACATCATTCTGGACCTAATTCAGTACTCTGTGCAAATTTCATGCAAATCGAAAGATATAGAGGGACTTTGGTGCCCCATTTACCTTAAATCGGACGAAACTATATATGGGAGCTATATCTAAATCTGAACCGATTTTCTCGAAACTTGGCACACATCATTCTGGACCTCATTTAGTACTATGTGCCAAATTTCATGCAAATCGAAAGATATATAGGGACTTTGGTGCACCATTTTCCTTAAATCGGAGGAAACTATATATGGGAGCTATATCTAAATCTGAACCGATTTTCTCGAAACTTGGCACACATCATTCTGGACCTAATTCAGTACTCTGTGCCAAATTTCATGCAAATCGAAAGATATAGAGGGACTTTGGTGCCCCATTTACCTTAAATCGGACGAAACTATATATGGGAGCTATATTTAAATCTGAACCGATTTTCTCGAAACTTGGCACACATCATTCTGGACATAATTCAGTACTCTGTGCCAAATTTCATGCAAATCGAAAGATATAGAGGGACTTTGGTGCCCCATTTACCTTAAATCGGACGAACTATATATGGGAGCTATATCTAAACCTGATCCGATTTTCTCGAAACTTGGCACACATCATTTTAGACTTAATTCAGTACGCTGTACCGAAATTCGTGCAAATCGAATGATTTTGAGGGACTAAAGTCCATAAATCGGACAAAAATATATATGGGAGCTATATCTAAATCTGAACCGAGTTTTCCCAATTTCAATAGGGTTCGTCCTTGGGCCAAATAAATGAGCTGTGCCAAATTTCAGCCAAATCGGATTATAAATGCGACCTGTACTTTGTTTACAATTTAACATCAACAGACGGACGGACGGGCAGACGGACGGACGGACGGACATGCATAAATCGACTCAGAAAGTGATTCTATGCATATTCTCAAAAGGAACCATGTGTCTATCTCGATTCCTTTTGCCTGTTACAAACATATGCACAAAGACATAATACCCTGTACCACAGTGTGGTGAAGGGTATAAAAATCCAGGCCTGCTTGTGGTCCCTGAAATATTTTTTTTTTAATCCTTCAAATAATAATTTTTCGAATTGTATGATTTAATTTATTTAAATAATGTGTTAATTTTATCTATTTTTGTCTATATCTTTTCAGATTCTATGATTATCAATAAAACAGAGACATATTTAACCACCACTTCCAGTTGCCTTATGAACAAATAAAGAAACAAATTTTAAATTAATTTGAATCCCCTGAAAAAATAAAAAATATTTTAAAACCGAAACTAAATACCTGTCAAAAATGTTTCCCCGCCTATCTGGTCCGAGTGCCCAGCAACACCAGGACGATGATATATTTGCTGGTGCCACGACAACGGTGCGTTCAGCATTTCCCAATTCCCGCCTAGATTCCCTTGCCAATCACAATTATCAATCGCATGGACAATCAGCGTTAACACCTCCCCATGGATCGCATGGATCACATTCGGCAGCGTCACTGCCAGCGAGTGCCACACCACAGCCATCGCCAGCATTTGGTGGCGGAGGCAACAATCATCATCAATTGTTGTCACCCCATGATCCGGCGATACAAACCGATTTCTTAGCCACCGCCAGCACAATATTTGGTGATGCTGCAGCAGCAGCGGCATCTGGTGGCGTGGAGGCCAGCAGTAGTGGTGGTGGTGTGGCGGGCAGCAGTAGTTCGAATCTTTTACCTGCCAATGACGATGACTGGTGGTTGAATGCCATCGAAGAGGATACCTTTGAGTCACCGTTGGCCTTCGATGCCAGCGAGAATGGCCTGTGGAATGGACGTTTTGTGCCACCACCACCGAGACCGCCCTTTCTCGATGAGAGTGTGGCCGCCGATGGTCTGACAACCTGTGATCTATGCACATGGGCATGGCAGCGGAATGCCTATTCATTGGATGGATCGATAGGTAAGTGGGCGTTAGCCAACACCCAATTTTTTGTTTCTTTCAAATTCTTTGGCGATATATATATTTTTTGTTTTTGGTTGATTGCTTCCTAGTATTCTGTCCACGCTAATCTCTAAGAGTCTCCTCCACTAGTTTTGCTGCTGATAAATGAAAAGATTTTTGCCATGCCAAACTGGTCAGACATTTGTAAGGAGTTGAAATTTCACTTTTCAATTTAGCCAACTATGAAATGCCAGCAAGTTTTCGATATTCTTGGAAAATGTTGAGCAAGGGGTTAGGTGGGGGGATGGATGGAACAATATTGTTTGGTTATCCAACACAAATGAATTCTGGCTGCAAAACTCCCAAAACCTAAGCACCATCGGACAACATTGCCCATAGGCGGCTTTTCGTTTTATCGTCTCATACAATCGATCGAAAAATAATTTATCGCCACAATCACTGATGGCGATTTATCATATTTTGTTGTTGTTGTTGCTTTTGCTGTTCCTGTTGTAGCTGAAGTTTTGTTGTTTAGCTGGTTTTCCTGGAGTTTGCGTTCAACTTTAGTTGGGAGTCTTCCTACTTCATCTTCAGTTTGGTAGGTAGGCAAGGACAGTGGTGAAGTGAATTTGTTTTTTAAATTTCTATTTAAGGACTCCAAAAAGAGTGCAGATTTTAAAGAATACCTTTTAAAGGACGTATATTTTAGAAAAACAATTGTCAAGGATTCCAAAAGAAGTGCAATTTTAAAATATATTTTTCAAAGACTCCAAAAGGCGTGGATTCTTTAGGAAACATTTTCTAAAAGGATACCAAAGGGGTGGATTTTTTTAAGTTTTTAAAGACTCCAACAGGCGTAGATTTGTTAAAGAATATTCTTAAGGACTCCAGCAGGCGCAGATTTGTTAAAGAATATTTTTAAGGACTCCAGCAGGCGCAGATTTGTTAAAGAATATTTATTCAAGGGCTCCGAATGTGGCTGTTTTTTTCAAAGAATATTTTTTCAAGGACTTCAACAGGCCTGAAATTTTTTCAAGGACTCCAACAGGCTTGAATTTTTTAAAGATTTTTTTTCAAGGACTCCGACAGGCCTGGATATTTTAATGGAAAATTTTTCAAGGACTCCAAAGGCCTGAATTTTTCAAGGGAATATTTTTTCAAAGACTTCAACAGCCTTGACTTTTCAAAGAAAATTTTTCAAGGACTCCAACTGTAAGATTTTTATACCCTACACAACTATGTTGTCAGGGTATTATAGCTTTGTGCAGCCCCAAAAGTTTGTAACACCGCGAAATATTGGTCCTAGACCCATCTTTAAGTATACCGATCGTCATATCTCGACTAGCTGAGTCGATCTAGACATGTGTGTCCGTCCGTCCGTCTGTCCGTCTGTCCATTATAATTTGTAAACACGATACAGGCCACAGTTATGAACCAATCTTCAATTTTGCATGTAGCATGGGTTCCGGCTAATGAAGACCCCTATTGTTTTTGGAAAAGATCGGTTAATATTTAGGGGATGAAATGGACCAAAAACTTTATTTTTGTTGGGTTTTCTGGTCGCTCCAGAGGCCGCAGTTATGACACAAACACCGCGAATTTTTGCATGAAGAAGGGAATCGGGCCAAAGAATAAGCATTCCTATTTTGATAAAGATTGGTCAATATTTAGCGGGTCAAATGGACCCAGACTTTTGTGTGGAAAATGACAAAATTTGTATTCTATGGCATATATATTTACTCCTGAAGGACATAGACCCGAGAAGTTGATAGTATATCCAAGAGGAGTGGTTTAACTTTACATTGATACCAATTGCATTGTCGTGTGTACTCGGATGTGGGAGTTACACTTAAATATTTATAGGTCCTTACGTATTCATATATTATTTAGTAATGCATTACCACACTAGGGGCGGAAATATATCGCGGATCGCTTTGAAATTTTCCATGAGGATCCAGGTTTGGTCATGGACAACGCCTATAATTTTCGGTGATGATCAGAAATTAATATTTGGATGAAGTGACCCGAAAACTTAATTTTTTGTGTTTTTTTATGAGTCGATTTATAGGCCACTATTGAAAGCCGGACATCACAACACAACCCACGGTGAAGGGGATCTGGACAAGTAATTAGAAGAGCTGTACTGAATATTAGTAATATTTGTAGACGTCTAGTCGGTCAAGGGGTTACAAATATCGCTAAATATTGCCCAAGCTCAGAATATCGAACCATAGAAAATTTGATTTTCGTGGAAGTTGTGTGGGGTATCATATGGTCGGCCCCGTCCGACTATACTGCTCCGCTCACTGGTTTAAAGGAATATTTTCAAAAGCTCCAATAGGCGGGGAATTTTTAAGATTTTTTTCAAGGGTTCCAACAAGCGTGGATTTTTTAAAGCAAAATTTGTTCGAGGACTTCAACAGGCTTGGTTTATCAAAGAATTTTTTTAATGTTTCCAAAAGACCTGGATTTTTTAAAGAATATTTTTATAATGTTTCCAAAAGGCGTGGATTTTTCAACGGAATATCTTTTGAAGGACTCCAAAAAGCGTGGATATTCAAAGAATATATTTCAAGGACTTCAAAAAGCGTGGCTATTCAAAGAATATTTTTCAAGGCCTGTAACAGGCGTGTTTTTTCAAAGAATATTTTTTCAAGGTTTCCGAAGGGCGTGGCGTTTTTCAAGACTCCAACAGCATGGATTTTGTTAAGAATATTTTTGCAAGGTTTCCAAAAGGCGTGGCGGTTTTCAAGGATTCCAACAGCATGGATTTTGTTAAGAATATTTTTTCAAGACTCCAACAGGCGTGGCTTTTTTAATAGAATATTTTTTTTTTTTCAAGCAATCCAAAAGGCGTCGATTTTTAATGAACATTTTTTTCCAAGGACTCCTTCAGGCGCGGCTTTTTTAGGTAATATTTTTTTTCAAGGACTCCAACAGGCTTTTAATGAATATTTTTCACGGTTTTCATCCTACCCTTTCCGACCACTGTTCATCCTCCATATACACCCAACAAATGCTTCATTTATTTCTTAGCACAACTACCCAGAAGTG